TTTTTTTTTTTTTTTTGCATACATGTTTTCAGCACATAATGTTTAGTGGATATGGCCCATGTACATAACACATTTTTAATGGGGTTATCAATGTAACTGAGAACATTACAGAAATTGTTCATGTCTTTCTCCTTCTGGCTGCCCTACCCCATTGGGGTACATTTTTAATTTTGGGTAACCCCAAACTCAAGTCTTACATGTTCATGCTTTACTTTTACTATAATTTGAAGTTAGTGTTCCACTTAATAGTCATCTTACACTTCATTCATCACAGCTGAATCTACCTGTTTCTGTTTTTCTACTTTTTTTAATACTTTTATCTTCTGATATAACTGAGGTTCCACTTTCATCAGAATCACTTGAGAGACATGTAGACTCCTAGACAATACTAAGACCCACTGAAAAGTAATTCTGGGTATGATGACCTGGCAATTTTCATTGTAACAAGTTCCTCCAAATGATTGATGACCACTGTGCTGCCATCTAACCAGGTTTCAGGCATCAGTTCATCTTTTCTTTCTCCATTAAATAGTTGCCCTTGCTTAGAAAGATTGTCCTTGAATTCTTATCTATATGCTTCATAGGCAATAGATATTTTTCAACTTTGCACTTAGCTTTCTGCAATTTTATGTGTCTGTTATCTCTTTTGTAAGTATTCAGCTCTGTCACTGTAGCAGAAAAGCAGGCATAAACATAATATAAATGAATGACATGATTGTGTTCCAATAAAACTTTCAGGTTGGGCACCAAAATTTTAATTTCAAGTAATGCCTACTTGTCGTGAAATGTTATTACTCTTATTTTTTCCTCAATCTTATCAGATTGAAATTCTGAACTCACAAAGCCATACAAAAATAGGTAGCAAACTAGACCCACTGACCATAGTTCACTAACCCCTAGAGTCTAGAGAGACTCCTACTCTAAAATAGTACTGTCCAGTATATATTACTCATCTTTGTGTTAGTATTGTCAAGTATATTGACTAGTTCACAAACATGTGCTCAGTAAATGTTTATTGGGCCAAATTTAAACTTTTCCCTAGAGTTAATACCACAGTTATCTGTGTTTTGTTTCCTTAAATCATCTGCTTTTTTTTCCCTTGTGTGTTTGAATAGGAAGGCCCAAACAGTCTGATTAATGAAGAAGAGTTCTTTGATGCTGTTGAAGCTGCTCTGGACAGACAAGATAAAATAGAAGAACAGGTGTGTGTGTGTGTGTGTGTGTGTGTGTGTGTGTGGTATTATTATGAAAAATCCTAAGCTGAAATTCATTTTAACACCATTTGTACCTTGACATGCATTTCATATTTATAGAGTTTTAAAACTGAACTTTTAAACCTAAAAAATTAACTGTCTTTATTGAGTCATTAATGTGGAAGAATCTTGGTACATCACCATCTTTAGATTAATTTCTAGGCAATAGAAAGAACAATAAAGTATGCATGAAATTCCTATTAACATGAACTAAAAATGGAAATGTTCTGCCTTTTACCCTCTAAGTTTGTAACTAACCATTTGAAGTATCCAGTTTTACATTTTTTTAGTTGGCTGGTCGGTTGACCAACTGTGGATAGACTTCAGGGCCTTCATGCTGAGCTACATACACCTTTACCCCTTTTAATTTTGAGACATTGTCTCACTAAATTGTCCAGGCTGGGCTCAAACTTGCAGTCTTCCTGCCTCTGCCTCCCAGAATGCTGGAATTACAGCCATGCACCATTGTACCCAGCTCAACCATTCTTTGGCTGTTATTGCAGCAGATATATATTGAGTAATGAATTTTCCTTCACCAAGTATCATATGAATTCAGTGGAAGATGATCAAAAATTTAAGACTGTTTTTATTCTTTTTCTTTGCCATTTAGTTTTTATTATCAACTCTTTTATAGCCTCTAACTACCTTCATCTTCAGTTTCTTCCCCACTTTTACTTTTTACTCTGTTCAATTTTTTGTCATCATTAAAATCACAGCATACATACCCTACTCCCTTTGTAGAATTTGAAGGAATCATTTAAGGGTTTTAACTCTAGTTTCAATATTAATTTGATCTCTTGCCTTTACTTCTGCAACAATGCTGTTACTACATTTTACCACTAGATTATACTTAAGGATGGATTTTATTTAGTTATCATTATTCTCCCTCTTTAAGCTATACTACTTATGACAGAACCTACCTTCTTTTTTGGCAAGTATGAATAAACTGTGGCAGTAAAGATCCTGCAGATATTCTGTTTTGTCAGTTTTATTCTACAAATGATCTTGAATAGAAATATTGGCCCATCTATTCTCTGTCATCACTAAGGCAGTCATAGCCATTACTCCTATTTTCTAATTTAAATAGTCAAGAAGAATTTCTCTACAATAAATCACTTACTGACCTCTCATATTTATTTTTCATTGTTTTTAAAATGAATGAGAAAAAGTTTATTTCCCACTTATTTATAAAGCTTATTGATCAATTTTTATACTCAAAAGATGCTACACACCACTCAGTAAGAGTAGAAACTTATTAGGAACTTTCCTATTGGGCTCTACTAAAACCTGATGGGCTCTGCTTTGGAAGCCTGCAGTACTTCTGAAATATTATCATTTGTTTTTTATTTTACTTCCCCTTTTCCCCTACATTATGCTGTTATGGGAAGAACAGTGAACTCTAGAGTCACCATACCTCAGTCTTATTCTTGCTTTTGCCATTGCCTAAATTTGTAGTTGTGAATTTAGCACTTAAATTCTCTGTGCCTTCTTTTCTAACCTGTGAAATGAGAAGCTAGCCAGGACAATTCAAAACATCCTTTTTTTCTCTAAAAATGCTGCTCTACTGAATATCAGTATAGTGGCTGAGCTGGGCTTAAGAGACTTAGTGTAAACTTTAGAAAAAGAAGTACCTATGGGGCTGTCGGGTCATTTAATTTCAGTCAGTTCTTGACTTTGTGGAAAGTTCTTTCCAAAACAGTCATGGAACAGACCCTGAATTTGCTCATGTACTAGGTAGTCAATCAATGTGTTGAATATAATTACAGTGTAGTAGTTTTCTAAAGTAGCAAGCTTCAGAAATCCATGAAATCAGTTCCCCAGGTTCAGATCATTTTCCTCTTTATACTCAGTATATATTGCACAGGGGTCTCAAAAAGTAATGATCACACATTTTATTATATTATTTGCAAACATGGGAAAATATATATGCAGTAAATTGGCCTTGTGTTCAAATAGCTTTTAATAGAAATTACCAGATATCTTCTGTATAGTTAGATGCATGCACATGCAACACAGCACAATTTCTGGTGCATTAATTTTAGTAAGTATTGAGATAAAAAGAAACTAGGCAAGGTAAAAAAAGAGGAAGAAGGTCACAGGTGAGTTTAACAGGTTTTGGCCTTCTCTGAAAAGAGGCAAATACATGTTCTTAGGAACATAATAAAGCAAGTAAAGATGTGGGTTCTGATGAAACACACAAAGTAGAATGATTAGAATGCTTTGGCCAGAATTTCGGTAGAAATAAAATTGGCAGTGGTGTTAAGATTGATTCATGATAAATAATGCTATGCAGATAGTGCAGGGTCTGACAAGAAGCAAAATCAAAGAACTTATCCCTGGTCTTAATACTATACTGTGTATTTATGGAGTCAGAAGAGACTGTATCTGAAGTGATTTGACCAGGCTCATGTCTGTGAAGTAGTTGTATTCAATTTATAAGCACTAAAGTGTTTACTAATTAATTATATGTTAGTACTTCCAAGCAACAGTGTCCATTCTTAATCTGCAAAATATACTTAAAAACCATTTTGTCATAATATTGCATGTTTTTTAGTCACAGAGTGAAAAGGTCAGATTACATTGGCCTACATCCTTGCCATCTGGAGATGCCTTTTCTTCTGTGGGGACTCATAGATTCGTCCAAAAGGTGAGCCAATATTAGAGTTCTTTGTATTCCTCACTGTTGAAGGGAACTATCTTGTAGTATAAATTTTCTCCCTGTTTCATAAATTTTAAGTAGTAAAACTTTTTGTAGTATATGTTGTATTCCATGTACATTCTCCAACAGTTAGAAATCTTGTTCTGAACATAGCATTCTCTTATTTAATGGGGAAAGGGGGGATGGATGGATAGGAAGTGGCTAGTTTAAATAGTTAAACAGAGGTTTAGCCAGATATATTAAATCTCTTTCTTCTGTGGGATTAAGTGGCATTATTTGTATTATTGGAAGCACTGCATTCTTTTGGAATGATTTTGGAACATAATACATAATAGGTGCTTGAAGTCAGCACTTGCTGCTGTGATTGTTTCATATAGTGCTTTGTTTTCTCTTTCTTTATCTTGTGTTTGGAAGTTGGTACTGAATGCTCTGTTGTGCCTTTGTTCTGATTACTTGGTTTTTTCTTTGTCTGTCTCTGGTAGCCCTATAGTCGCTCTTCCTCCATGTCTTCCATTGATCTAGTCAGTGCCTCTGACGATGTTCACAGATTCAGCTCCCAGGTACTGTATGAATGTATAGAGTGGACTTGAGTCTTTCTATGCTGTATTTCAACCTACTTGCCCAATTCCTAGAAATCTTGTTCAGGCCACTTATTTTAATTTTGAATATTAAATAGTAACAATAAGCATTTAAAAGGCCTTCCTTGCCTACTAAGTAATTCCTCAGTCAGGCTTGCCTGTACCCTTTACTTTGTGTTCTCTACTGTGAATAGCTTGGAATTTCATCATATTGGAGGTACTCGAGAAAATTTTCAAACTGAATTGAAACAAATATCAGTTACCTGGTCTCTGTATATATCATGTAATATCTGTTTCTTCAGATAGGATTCAATAGCTGTCATCACAGACCTGCAGGATATGTTACAGCATAAAAGCAGATTTTAATGCTCCCAATTTTGGCCTAATTTAAAATATTTCCTAGTTACTTTGAACCAGGCAATACTTTTTAAAAAATATTAGTCTCATTACTGAGCTCCATTGAGCAAATGATATTTTCCTTGTGCAAATTACCTGTGGGTATTATAAATTAATGTTCCTGATTACATGCTAAAATCTATTGAAGTTGGTTGTTGGTCCTAAATTTACGTAGCATTCACTCAACATTTAGGAATTTGAGACAGGAAGATATGCAGTCTCCAAAATCAAACTACCACCAGAGGAATATTTTTTTAGCATGAGCATTAGCTTAGAAATTATATACATACATTTTTTATTGTGGTGGTGGTTCTTTTTGTTGTGGGGGGGCGTGCTGGGAATTCAACCCAGGGACTTTTGTGTGCCAGGCAAGGAGTCTGCCTGGTACTGAACCACACCCCCAGCCCTTAAAAATTTTTTTTAAAGTTTTTAATTTTCATATTTTTGCCATTCGATTTTGTATTTTTATGGTAATGGATTTATTATGTTAGTTTTCTTAATCAAATGACTATTTTAAATCCTGGTTAGCTGTGTGATCTTGGGCAGGTTTTATTTTCTAACTTAGCTAGAACCTGGAACAGAGTAAATGCTCAGTAAATGGGCTCCTTTTTTGGTCATTATAATAGCATAATTTTTTCTAGCTATCAAAATTATCTTCATTTTTTTCTCTATGTGGTATTAAAATAAAAGTTTATAAAACTCCTGTTTGAAGCAGATCTATTTTATATATAGAAACAAAATTTACATTAGTTTGTTTAGGAGATTTTTTTTGGAGATAGGGTCTCACTGTGCACTCCAGGCTGGCCTTGAACTCATGAACTCACAGCAATCCTCCTTCCTTAGCCTAGTTAGTGCTGGGATTACAGGTATGCGCCCCCATGCCCAGCTTACATTAGATTTAACTGTAGTGGGGAAGAAAATTAAAGCTTGAAATACATTGTCTTAATTTTGCTTTGAACCTCTGAGAAAACATTTAACAAATTCTTAATTAGAAATTACCCATAACGAGATATAATACAGTATTTATTTCTTTATCCACATATGCATGCTTTTTCAAAAAATGACTTCTATTCATAACATCAGTGAGAAAACTAGTTAATATCAGGAGACTTTAGTTTATTCTGCTAAGCAGCTCCACTTTGCTTTAAAGTAATAAAATTAAAGACTAAACCCCATCAGTACTGATGACCATTTTCTCTGAATTGTAAAAATACATAGGCTTTAAATGAAAGAAAATGTGATGATTTCAAGGGAAGAATGTAAGCCAATGATAAATAATGCCTAACAACTTGGCCTTAGAACCCAAACCTGGAACCTAGCTATAGAGACATAGTACTGCTGAAAACCTTGAAGTACTTCATCAAGGTTTGAAGAGCAGCTGCTCATATTTTTCTTTGTGTAACTTTTTTTTTTTTTTTTTTTTTTTTTTTTTGGTAGTGGGGTTTGAACTCGGGACCTTGTGCTTGCTAGGCAGGCAGCAGAACCGCTGAGCTAAATCCCTGGCATTTGTGTAACTTTTTAATGTAACTTGTATACATAAATTAAGAGAAATTATGTGGTTGGTAAATTATTTTTCTAATATATTATGCTAAAGATTGATCAGGGTTTGTTTTAGCTTTTGACTATTGTGCTGTTTTATATGCTACATGAGGTAACAATAAAGAAAATATCTGAATTCTTCCAAGTGCAATATTCATTGTCCTTGCTAAAGCATTTGTTGTTGTTATTAACAGACTTGGGCACTGGCATTTAACTGTTGATTAAACTGCACCTCATGTTTGGCACCACCCGTAGAATAAATAATTCTCAGTTGATAAGATGGCTTATGTCAGAGGATATCTCACTACCTCACCCCACATTATCAAATGAGTCTGTATAATCACCTGAGAATATAGCATTGGATCTAGATCTACAGTTACTATAGCTAAGAAACCGGGAAATTCTTCAGTTCAACACGATGTTGAATTACATTAGTCACTTAATTGAGTTGGTAGATTTTTTTGTTTTTGTTTTTTTGTTTTTGAGACAGGGTCTCACTATATAGTTGAGGCTCACCTGGAACTCACTATGTAGCCCAGGCTGGTCTCGAACTCACAGCAATCCTCCTCCCTCAGCCTCCTGAGTGCTGGGATTACAGGTGTGAGCCACCACGCCTGGCCTTGAGTTGGTACATTTTATAATCTTACATTCTGAAGAGATTTCTATACCGTATTAAGCAAAATAAGAAGGTTGTTACCTTTTTTTGCTCTTTGTTTTAATGTTAATAACATTAGAAACATGTTACATTATATGTAATAATACATTTTAAATACATTTAATGATATACTTTCTTAAAATATTTTAGGTAAGCAAATTCTTCATTTTGTAATATTTTGGTAATTAAGAAACTTAAGTGAAAGTATGGCATCAGTTTTACTGATTTGCCAAGGACTGAGACTGTAGCTCAGTGGTAAAACGCTTGCCTACCATAGACGAAGCTCTGGATTTGATCACCAGCACAGCAAAAAATAAACCTAAAATATCATTTAAGCATAATACCACAATCAGTTTATATATACTCCAACATCTTTTTAAAGTCCAGATATGCCAGAAACCAGCTTGAAACTGCGCTAAGTAGGCTATAAAATATTATTGAGTTGGCTTATGAATTAGCTATTGATTTAGCCTTCTTATACACAAATAACAGACTCACTGAGAGAGAAATAAGGGAAAAAATTTCTTTTACAATAGCATCCAAAAAAATGAAGTATCTAGGAATCAATCTAACAAAAAAAGCCAAAGAGCTCTACACTGAAAACTACAGCACTCTGAAAAAAATTGAAGAGGATATAAAAAAATGGAAAGATATCCCCTGCTCCTGGGTAGGAAGACTCAACATAGTGAAAATGGCCATACTACCAAAACTGCTATATACATTCAAGGCAATGCCAATTGAAATTCCAACACTATATTTCACAGAACTAGAAAAAAGAATCCAAAAATTCATTTGGAACCATAAGAGACCTAGAATAGCAAAAGCCATTTTAGGCAACAGACACATGGCACCAGGTGTAACAATTCTCAACTTGAAACTATACTACAAAGCCACTGTGATAAAAACAGCATGGTACTGGCAAAGAAATAGGCCTGAAGATCAGTGGAACAGACTGGAAGACACAAAAACAAATGCAGATGTACTCAGCTACCTCATCTTTGACAAAGGAGCTGACCATCCTCAGTGGAGGAAAGATAGCCTCTTTAATAAATGGTGTTGGAAAATCTGGATGTCAACCTGCCACAGATTAAAATTAGACCCTTATCTTTCACCATGCACTAAATTAAAATCCAAATGGATTAAAGATCTAAATATTAAAACAGAAACGTTAAACTTGCTGGAAGGTAAGTTAGGCAGAACTCTGGAAGACATTGGCATAGGAAAAGACTTTATGAACAAATTCTCAGTAGCACAGGAACTAGCAGATAGAATCAGTAACTGGGATCTTATCGTATTAAAAAGCTTCTGTACTTCAAAAGAAACCATCAGCAGAACTAAGAGACAACGTACAATATGGGAAAAAAAATTTTAGCAGCTGTTCCTCAGACAAAGGACTTATCAAGAATATATAAAGAACTCAAAACAACCAGCCCCCCCAAATATAAAGACCCAATTAAAAAATGGGCATCCGAAATTAACAGACATTTATCAAAGAAGTAAAAGCAGCAAGTAAATATTTGAAAAAATGTTCCACATCACTGATCATTCGAGAGATGCCGATGGAAACAACACTGAGATTCCACCTCACCCCACAAAGAATGGCTGCTATTAAGAAATCACACAATAACAAATGTTGTTGGGGTTGTGGAGAGAAAGAAATCCTTCTCCATTGTTGGTGGGAGTGTAGACTGGTGCAACCACTATGGAAATCAGTATAGTACCTCAAAGAGCTTGGACTGGAGGTTCCATTTGACCCAGCCATCCCTCTGCTGGGTATCTTTCCAAAAGAACTAAAAGAATCATATCACAGAGAAGTATGTGCACCCATGTTTATAGCGGCACAGTTTGTAATAGCTAAAACTTGGAAACAGCCTATTTGCCTATCAGTTGGAGACTGGATAAAGAAGATGTGGTTTTTCTATAAAATGGAATATTACTCAGCCATAAAGAATGAGAAAATAGATGCATTCATAGGAAAATGGATACATATTGAAGATATACTCCTAAATGAAATAAATAAGGCACACATGTGTAAATACCAAGTAGTTTCTCTGGTGTGAATAATCTGCAGTAATACAGAAGATCCTAATAAGATTACTGACATTGTGAAATAGGAAGAAAGGAGCTAAAGGTGTAGGGAAGGTGGGATGGGTAGGGGAAGCGTAAAAAGGGAAAAGAAAAAAATGTGAGATAATGAAAAGATGGAGATAAAGTGGTTGTAGATGGGGAGGCAGGAGGGGGTAAAGGGAGGGCAGGGACAAGGGGAAAAAATGAGAATCAAGACTTGTCATGAGGAGGTACAAGATCCCAACAATGAATGTAACTGTACTGTATCCCTAAAATGTACCAGTAAACTCAATTAAAGCTGAAAAAAAAATAAGAATTAGCTGTT